CCCTGACAATCATGGACCACGAAGATAGCTTGCACAGTCGGAAACAAATGCCGTGAAACTTGCACCTTTGCAGCGATAGCTCTGAAAGTGGTGCTTGAATCGCAGTGAAAGCCCGCCATGGCTGGCTTCAACTCGCTTTTAAAACTATGTCTTAGTTACAATACACGTTTTTGGTTTCTATCAATGCTATTCAATTCACGGTACCGTTGAAGAACACGAAACAAACACTAGTAGATGCATATCGCAATGGGTTCATAGAGATTTAGAGACAACGAGCAGAAACAACAGGAAGAGGAAATTAAAACGCGGTGTGAGACACGTACTAAGGATAAAAAGGTGCGCGAATAGGTCGTCCAACTTCATCTGTAGACTGCCAATCACAAACAGAAGGCATACCCGAAACAAAACGAATACCTTTTGTTAGCCTAATACATAGAACACGAGTTGGATGTCGTGGTAGCGTAGTGGGTAACGTATTTGCTTGCTAATCCTGGAGACACGTTGTGGTCTAGGTTCGAACCCGGGCATAGACACACTTCGTTTCATGCTGGGAGCCAGCCATCTGATGGCATGCCTAACGACGATACCGGACGTAAAACGCGAACCATACAGAGTTGGTAGTCGCTGTCTACTTCAAAACAAGTAGCATGTCCTGTTAAGGAAAAACAAAGCGCTCATCTCTAAGTGAACAGTGTAAAGGTTCATACACACAGAGCCTGAAATGTTATTCACATAGATGAGGTCGATCGCAGGCTAGGGGGTTAAAAAAGCCACGAATCGCTAGCCTCATGGTGAACACCAGGATTTTTGCTCTTAAACAAACAAAGGCCACCATAATAGTATTAGATCGCTATGTGGCCGTGAATTGCAATAGTTTGCAATTGCGGAGAGAATTTGGTTGAAGATTTTCGGTACTGTAAATAAAAAAAAAAAAAAAGTAATCTCAATCAGTGAAAAATATGATTCCACATCAAATAAGGACAATGTGTACGAGCTCGTGTTCGTATACGGTGCGCACCGACTGTGTTTTCGAGTTCTGGGGGTCACGTTATAGGGCCGCACGGGATCAAAAAATAGTCCTGCAGCCTGCTCAAATAAAGTGAATACCTCAGGGAACTCCACAGGACAAAAGCGAATTGTAATTAACTACAGAGCTGGATCAGCAACTAATCAGTACGGTCGACCACAGCCTGGAAACAATATTATAATATTGAACAATGTAAGTATGTGACACTTTGTAGCACAGTTATACTTTTATTGCTTACAATTGTTATTTTGTACCTCGCACCAGGATGGTTTCATGAACGAAACTATGCTTGAGATGTACATAAAGCCAAAATGATTTTCCATTGACGATGTCTTGAGCTATATTTATATACCTTGAATTTACGAAAATACATTCTTTGGAGATACAAAACAACTGTCAATTCAGCGTGGAACCGATGTTCCACTCACACTAACACGGATACAAACATAGGCGCTATTCACCATAGCTAGGTCTAACTACTAACTCGCGTGCAAACGGCGTTCGTCAGTTGCAGTTTCCTTTTTGCAAAGTTATGTTGGCACTTCTGTCATAGTAGGTCCAAAAATGCTTTTTTTACAAAAAAAAAGTTCTTTGTGAAACATTCTTGAGGCACTCTAAGCTGCTAGTGAGTATTGTTAGTTTAGAAAATTTAGCTATTGACCCTATACACGTGCGAGACAACGCGGTCAAGAAATTGAATAGACGAGGCCTGTGTTCTGAAAGTAGGCCGTCGGTGTAAAGCGTGATTTTCAAAACACCGACCGATTTAGCTGAACTTGACTTAGTTTATGCATTACGTCAGCTTACTCCCTAGCCAAACCGAATTGCCGCTACCGCTCATAAGTGTATATGCTGTACATAGTTTTTTGTTGTCTCAGGAAGATGATACACGAGTGTAGGCCGTGCATTTATACCTTTGCAGCGAGAACGTCCATATGAGGTTTCCTATTTAATTTTGGGGTTCAGAAACAGCTCTAAAGCTTTTGGACGCGACCCGGGCAGCTAGAAAATATGTTCATAACTTAACAACAACGTGTGCTGCAATGCTAACAAGTTTTTCAACTTACAATGCGTTTAAAATGTATAGATATTCCGGCAATAAATGTGTAAGCACGAGAAACGTTCTCAAACGTTCATATAGGTTGATGTAGTCGGGTTATCGGTAGTCTTTCGCTGAATATTCCTGTCGCTTAATGCACAATAATGTGCAACAATTTATTGCTACCTTAAAATACTTACATGGTTATACAACAAAGCCTGGTCTGAGTAAAGCGGTTTTTAATTAGAAACACAACACATATATATGTGCTTTCATTTGTAATCTTAAAATGCGCAGGCAATCGAAAATGATCGCCGATATAAAAAGCAAAAGAAAACAATATTATTAAGCTAATTTTTCGTTTTAAAAAATCGGATCAAATGAATTACATGCTCCCTTAGTAGTGGGAGAGATAAATGGATGATTCTAGCGAACACATCGCATCGGTCTTTACAGTTTCATATTAAGGCCTTGCTATTGAGCTCTCCCACGATAAACCTGCGAAACTTATAGAAATCCAATCTATGTCCTTCATTTATTGTCCTTTGTACGAAGGTTACCCATTGGAGAGCACGCAACTTTCGTCAAAGTTTTGTTTTATATATATATATATATCTACAGAGAGGATTTTTTTTATACATGAGAATTACCTCAAAGTCTGAAGCCGACGCCAAGACAGCCGGAGCGTTACATTTTGTCCGAGTTTGTCTGAACCAATTTGAGTGTAGACGCGAAACCAGTTGTGATCCCCCCCCAGGACCACAAAGCTCACTACTAGCGGGTGTCAGATGAGTTAGCGTGAGCTGAATTCATAACGCTTTATGTACAAGATGTCTAGCCGTAGTAGGCGCTTTCTGCAATCCACATCTCCACACGCAGCTTAACACTATTATGGTACTTGCAGAAATTATTTTGCCCTTCTGACCGTTTTCAAGGCTTGTGACCTCTAATAAGAGTCGCTGAATGAATGCTGGGTCATTCGTTTCTCATAAGTAACACCAAATAAGATTGTTACAAGAGGTTACTACTTCTGTAATAAGAACGAAATAAACGGTGTATAATGATACCCCCAAGGATACGGATATACAGGATGGTGTCTTGATTATGAATGATATTGCGTGAAACACAGGTAAAGGGACGTGCATGTCAAGAAATACATACAAAATATATGACACATAAGCGAAAACACCTTTTTGCGGACCGCTTCGTAATATAAAATTTTAGCTATGATGTTCTACCGAGCTGCCTCTTTTAAACGCTATTTTGTTGCCGCATCTATAACTGGGCAACTTTCTGAAACGTCGAAATCCTTAAACACACTTTATACTAGGATTGTTTATATAAAAAGAAAATTAACTTTCCTTTTGGGTAAACATATTGTGTATTAATATATTCACAAGTACAAAGCCGCGTCAATTTCCACGCATTCTATATACAATTGAGACTGCAAACTCTATGGTAAAAAATTTCTAACTTTACCACTAGATCATCCTAGTACCACCTTGTGGCCGCAAGATTCGCGTTATCCCATAGAACGTAAAAGTTTCTATAGCGTTGAATAATAATAACCTATTATTGTTATAATAATAAGTTCTCCCGATTATATTTGCAATGAGTTTATATTGTTGCGCTTTTTATTTATGAAGTAGAGCGTCCCAGGGCGACTTTAATGTGTTTGCGTTCCGACGACTCAGCAAAAGACACTCGCAGAGGCGTCCAGTAAATGCTCGCACATTTGTATAGAGCAACCACAGCGGAACCCGAATATTTATAGGGATGATATTAAGTAATTCATTACGTCTAGCGGTTTTTACGTTGAAATGGAGGCTTTTGTAGTGAAATTGCTTGCTTCACTTGGTTTTTCTATTTGGTAGTCGAACATCTCATGTAAAAAAAGATCTTATAATGCAATGACTGTCTAGTGAGCTGGGGACTGGAGTTTGGAACTACGCTGGCCGTGCATGCGTATAGTGATCCTCTTATCGTTAATAAGAATTAAATGATCATTTATAATTCTAATTATAATTAATAAGAGAACTAATTATACTACGGCTGGACGTACATAGTTCGACATGACAGAAGGTAAAATTTTAGCATTGTCAACGAATATTTGTGTCTGATGCAGTGGGATCAAATTATTAAGCTCCACTGTTAAAAAAAAATTACTCTATTCGGAACAATTGCAGCTTTTGTAACGACAAAATTGAGTGCTACAGTTCAAGGTCGTTTTAGGACAGTTGACCATGTTCGGTTCCCATAGCCATACTCGTAAGACCCTCAGGGGCTTGAATAAGCGTGACAAGCCGCATATAGGGAATGATAACCGTTTTAGATCCTGTTTAATTCGATCCCTGAGCGTGCACAAAGCATCAAAAATTATAGTTTAGATGAGTTTACGGAGCGCTATGGCGACGCCCTGAGGGCCGGCCACAGAATCCTAATGTCAACATCCGTTTGATGCGATTTAAATAACAGATACGACGGGTACATTTTGAAAGTAATCTTCAATAATAAACTATTAGGCACGCATTATAGGAGAATCGATGAACTGGCTGTCGAAAAAAAGAAAAAAAAACCCTGATGGCGCAACAAACTACTCAAACTGAAGCCATGAGCTCCATAAAACTACACGACAGCAGCTGCCAGTTTTACTTTAATAATATACAAATTTAACTCAAAGCGGTCGGCAGATTTTGTATCGAAAAAGTAATTGACGTTAAACACTAGCGCCACTTGGGGGAATGACATGGGTGCAAAATGAAGCACAACATATATAGTGTCATTAGAGCGATAATCATAATAACTCATAATTCTAATTGAAGCAAAGTAGGTGTCGCTGCTACAAGACCTTCTAATGACACGAGTTTGTATAAATAAAAATCGCAGGTATATTCTCGTGTTCTCCAAGAGCGGGCGGGTAGCCGTAACGTCAAAATGAAAGGGGATCAAAATTTTACTGAAATTTGTTCGAACGACGCGGTTCCCGATGTCGTTGCCGGCTGCAAAAAGAAGGTACGCAATTATTTACATTCTACTCAACGTTAGCTCAGTACGTTTACTTAGTTTTAGATAGAGTTGCTAAAATTCTACTTTGATTTTACGGACATAGTCTTCCGGTAAGTTCGATTGTCGCCTGTCAACAGTACTTTCTACTAATCTCGTGGATTTAGACCTGCTCCTTCTTTTTTTTTTTGTTTTTCTTTACGCGTCGCTACCCAAGTTGACATCCCATTTGGTAGATACTTCGGCACCTCTTTAACCGGTTTGAGAGCATAACATCGAGCAGGTAATGTAAAATCCAATCACGCATTGCATGTTACCTCTTCATGTTTACCAACGTGCAGGCGGTCACCACAATTAAGTGGCTCCCTTTCTGACAAAGTTTTTTTTTGCTCGAATTTATCACATAGGATCAACATTAGCTCGTTGATCAAAAAATGAATATATCAAGATAAAAAAATAATATTTAACAAATAAATCTTTTTGTGATCTCTTAAAACAGCCCGCGGAGACAAGTGTTACAGCGGCGCAGCTAAGGGAACAGGCTGATATCACCGACCTAATTGGACACGTAGGTTCGTGGCATTATATTATGTTAGCGGTGATCTTCATCAACTCGCTGTTTAATGCATATGGCCAATTAGCCATGGCCTTTATGATGCCCCCCAATGTTGAATTTCACTGCAGACGAACGGAGGAAGCCATCCGAAGAAATATGACAGAGGAGCAATGGCGCGAATTTACCCATAACGATTCTTTAAAGGTACACGCCCAAGATAACGCATGAAACTTAGACGTAAGCAGAGTAGTGAATATTATGAAACTATGACATACATAGTTGATATTTCGCTATGATGATACATTGCTATTAGGTACATCTCAAGAAATCATGCAAAATAGAAAAAAAACTGGGGCAGAAATACGTCCGACCCCTTTTTCTAGTCCGGCTTAGAATCATAGATTGTGTATGATAAAGCTTCTCATAGTCTTAGTACATTGGCTTGCTCCTCAGACCGGGTCGGGTTATTGCACCCGACACTTCTTTGATCACGAGACGCTTACAGCACACGAGAAGGTAATCGCATGTCACAGCTGGGAATTTAGTCACTCTGTACACCATTCAACAATACTCGAGGAGTGGGACCTCGTTTGCGACAATGACTACCTCAAGCCGTTCCCGCAGTCACTCTCCATGGCCGGCCTAATTATCGGTAACGTAGTGTTCAGCCACTTCTCTGATCACTACGGACGTCGTCCTGCGGTCTTCGCAGGAATGCTGATTTGTGCAGTTTCCGGTGTGATGGCAACAGTAACAAGCAATTTCATTGTATTCAATGTCGGCCGGTTTTTTTCGTCAGTATCAAAAATCGGCATTCAGGCTTCTATTGTCATCTATCTGGAAAGCATCGATCCTCACTACCGGTAAGAAAAAATTAGAATATTGTCTTTCAACTTTATCAGAAAAGCTTAGTCGAGCTCATTTTTATTGCTCAGTTAACTGATATAAATATCCTGGCAGCAAACATTTTCTTGAGAGTCACGTTGCCGCGAGGCTAGCTTCAATTTACTTTATTAGCACCTCATTCTGACTGTACACTTGTTTACTTTCAGGTATCTCTTTTCGCTACTAAATGGATTCGGGTTCCATTTGGGAATGATGTTTGTAGCGTTAACCGCTTTCTTCGGCGACAGTTGGCGGTACCTCCAGGGCCTTATCAGCGGACCAGCAGTCGCCATTCTACCATTTCTCTTCTTCGTTTATGAATCGCCTCGATGGCTACATTCGCAGCGATGTCCCGATGAAGCGGACGCGGTTCTCCGTAACATCTGCGACTGGAACAAAGTTCCGGCCGAACGCGTCGACGAACTCTTGCCTAAGATTAGGACTAAATATGTCCATCTAAAGCAGGGCAAGTCCAAGAACGCGCTCGATCTGTTTCGTGATAGCAATGGTGCAAATACAACACGTAATACGCTACTCATATGGTATCTGTGCTTTACGTCCGGCATACTGTTCTATGCATCAACGTTCACGTCGACCGAACTCGAGATCGGGCTTGGACCGCACGTCTCGTTTTGTCTGCCGATCGGTGCCGAGTTGGTCGCCATCTTGCTTGTGTCGTTGGGTGTACGATATATTCGCCGAAAAGCGATTATCTTCACAACAAGTTTGCTCGGCGCTCTCGGTTTCTACCTGATGGGCTTTGGCGAGAATCTCGGCGTACCTTGGATCATCGATCTAACTGCTGTCATCATGATCCGTGCTAGTTCTGCGGCGTTCACCCAAATCTATCCAGTGTACAGTGCCGAACTCTATCCTACACCGTTGCGTAATGTCGGTATTGGCTTCTGTGATTTGATGTATCGACTGGCCTCAACGATCGATCCTTTCGGGAGATATTGGTTGCCGAGGCTGCACACGCAATTACTGCCAGGGCTTTATGGTACCATGAGTCTAGTAGCGTGTGTGTTTTGCCTCTTTCTGCCAGAAACCCTAAATAAGGCCTTGGACGATGGAGTGTTTGCTCGTTTTTCCAGGACCGTGTCCTCCTTCCGCGAGAGCATACGTCGCTCTTCGAAAACGTCCACGGGGAACGATCGGCGAGCGCCAGATGATGTTTGAATCACCTCTTCTTGAGCGTTGGTTCGTGCGAAGAGGGAAAGGGACGTAATTCGCAGGGTCGGTTCAACCTGTGTGGCGGACAAGTCTAGCCTTTTCGTAAACAGTGGCCGTCTTTATTTAACGCAATCAAAATTTCCTTGTAAAGAAAATTATAACTCAACGTATTTTATGAAATATTAATTGATACAGTATAGAAGGGAACAAACAAATGTCAAGTTACAAAGTAGTGGGACACTATCTGATAGATTTTATGTAGTAGGCTTCTCAAAACTAATGCCACTCAGATCGCTTGCAGGGCAATTTATTTTTACTGCTATCTTTTCTTAACCAGCATTAATTCTTAAAGTGAATAATATTTTCAGATAGATATTCTTAGTATATATACCCTTCACTTAACAAGTGCAGATTGAAAATGGATTTATAGTGTTTTATAAACACTGCAAATTGTACGCAGACATGCGCGATCCGCAAGGACGAGAAAAATATAGAAGATAATGCCGTTGATCGAGAATCCGGAATCAGCATTTGCTTGAGAGATTCGTTAACTAGAAGTACCTAATTAGTCTTTTCCAACTACCGAAATTTTGTTTTTAAAAGAAAGTAAATTTATATCTCTTTGCCTGCAATAATGATCATTCCGTTTAAAAACAAATCAGCCTAAATCAATGACTGCAAATGAACTCGAAGAGAGTATAGTGATTTGCCTATGATTATTTTTCACTAGATTTTTCTATAAGACAGGCTATATATTGGCAATTTCTAGCCCGTTTAATGAGCAGTTTTTATTAGTACTGAAAATAAGACGTCCTAACGAGACGTTAGTAGCTAAATTAAAGCATAGCTTGTGCACAACCTTTTCGATATATGTGACGTCGACCTTTAGAGGTCTCTAATGTGGCATCTAAACAAGCAGGGATCATTATCTTCATTTAGTGCGATCACGCTGTACTGTAGTGAATGGAGTGGCCAAACCAATGGGTGGGTACGGTTTCAATTCTAGCCGAAGCCCAGATTTTTGCGGTCTAAACCTACGTCCAGATCAATGGCGGTAATTATACCGATTAAATGAAACGAATGACTGAACTCCATTTTCGTATTGTCCGATGCTATAACTATCTGAGTCTGAGAGACACAGAAGGAGAAGCAGATACATGCTATCGATCATACATTTCCGTTTAGCGTGGAATAGCACAATAGAAAATTGTAGGGAGATGAATATACAGTTTTCGGTATGTCCTTGTAAACATTACGTTCGCCAGTTTTTCGCAAACGGTAGGCCCACAACAAACGTGGCGTTAAAAACATCCAACATAGAAAGGTCTAAACGGTTCGAAAGGAATACATTTACCGGTTTCTTAGAAGCGCGAAACATCACATGTCCATGGCTTCGTCAAGCTTATTTAAAACGGTCGCACCTTTACTACAGGTCGTCTGCGTCACACACAGTCAACGTAACGTAATCGCTAATAAGCAACGGAGTTTTGTTGCATTATTATATAGAAGATGACCCTGTCGTTAGCTTTTATTATTAAGCAGATATCTTAACAAGCAAATGCACACGATGCCCAAAGAAAACATTATCTTATTTAAATAAGTATAGAAAGCTTCAATTTATATACCTAACGCCAAGTGACATAGCACTAGCTGTATGCGATCTACGTAGATACAGATGTTATTACTGCTACCATGTACTCAGCTAAAAAAAATTGCTTAAAGGCACCACTAAGTGCATAAAAACTAATGGCAATGGTGTTATATCTATGTATTTATGTCGATGGACGAATTAGGCTTTTGGTGGATAAAGACAAGGAGTCGCTGCTTCGCGTCTCAGTCAAAGAAAGTAATATTATGTCCATGTATTTACATCTGCAAAACTATTCCTCCGACCGTTGTTTTTTTGCTTTGCAGTAAGGGAATGAATGAAAGAAAGGAATAGAGCAATGACTGATTAATAATATCGTTGCAGAGCTTTCTGTATCAGAACAAGCTATAGATTTACTGCTTAAGACTGTTATTAGAAAAGTGGTTAATTAATTCTGTTGCTGTTAATAAAAAGTAAAATATTGTAACATTTGCTGTTGGTTCATCCATTATGGACATTAATAGTCAACGTGTTGGCCACGAAGACTACAGAGATATATTGTGCAATGTTATGTACAAGATAGGTATCAGGTATTTTGTTACTATAGCAGTGCTGTTCTTCAAAATATTATATATAAACAATACGTAGAAAGGTATTTATAGAATAAAGTCTAAGAGCGATATAAAAAGAATAAACTGTCAAATTAATACCAACTTACTTCATTGAGCATCTTTTGGAAACGTCTCTCCATTTAACCTTCACAGCTTTCATAGCTGCTTTCTTTTACGCACTGCAAAACGTACTGATTGATTACTCGTGGAGTTCCCATAGGCAAACATTTCCGATTGCAGGCGTTCCTGCAAATGACTGAACTTATTAGGGTTTGTGTTGTACTACACCTCTGTACATACCCAGCGATGAAAGCGTTCAAGTTTCAATAAACTATTTTCGTTGCTCGAAAACCTACGCTTAATTTGTCTTACGAGGTAGAGATTGTTGGTAGCGCATTAGATTTCTTAAAAAAAAACACCAGGATTACGTATAATGACTAGTAATCACAGTGTGTACGACCAGTCCTGCATGACTTCGCTGGCTGACGTGCATCTCTAAGTGCATTGCCAATTGCACACCCGGCACATCATTACCATGCTGTTTCATAGACCTGCTGAAGAAACCCTAGATAAGTTTGACAAAACCCACTCCGGCTGGACTTTCTGGTGCTGACAAATCCTTGAAGCTATACAGAAGGGGCGATTTCAGGGATATGTTTACACAATGAGAATAACTAGGGGCGTTAAAATAACACGGTGTAGCTCCTGGATAACTCGTCACTGCCCCTCGAGGATTTAGGTCGCCATCGAATTTCCAGCGATAGAGCCCTGTTGACACCAATCTTAGAAACCGAGAGTTAAGATTCACAAAATTCGCTGGGAACTTCGTCGAGTTGGGCGATGAGGCTTAGCGAAACAAGCCGGCTGAACCAGCAGCTGGTTTGCTTTGCCATGTGTGGGCCCAACTCTAGATTCCGTTGAGCATCAAGGTTCCCACTAGGCTGATAACAGGTGTAGGTGCTTTATATGAGGTGAACGTGTCAACTATACAATGCCACCTGCTTGCTGCCTTTGATGCTACTTTCAAGACGTTTGGAGAATCGCTTAAACGTCGAAGATTCCACTAGCTTCGTGCAGTCCCCATAGCCCGTGCTAATAGCGCGTCACTTATAATGCTCTAATGTTACTATACTTACCGTTAAGCTGTATATATGACTGTCTGACTGCTGCTGCGAGCAAAGGCAAATAAATAAAATGTAACAAATTAGCTTTTGTTTCATCCCTGAAACAAAAAAACGCGCTCCTAAGATATAGTGTCCATTGTTTTACGTTCTTAGTTACCTAAAGGGAGCCATTCTATGAACAACGAGAGGGAAAATAGACGTAAGATGTCGGTTCTTATTAGAACTGTATTTTCGACGTTATTACAAAACCTCAAAGCTATACACGGTAGAAATTTCTCTAAAGTTGGTCGAAAATGCTACATTTGTTTTTCTAGGAAATTTCGACAAAGAAACCTCTGCGCCATCAAAAGCGACTGTTTGATTTTGCTACAATCCCAATTAACCCTCGTTACGAAACTACAAATATTGACACTTCTATTAACTCTAGTTTGAAATAACGACAGTTTCAACCTCTGCATCAGATTGCGTTCAGTGCTAGAATTGCATCTGCTCCGAGCCGAGCACCTTCATATCGTTTGTTTAACCAATATAGAAAACAGGCCGGCTCAGAACCGTAACGTAACGGAGTACTTTGAAAAGCGCTCTTTGCTTGCCAGCCCTTTCTCCTCTAACCGTGTCCCACACAAGACCCAATTCGCTGTTGACGTATGCCACATTCTCGTGTTGTTTGAATTCTGTGATCGTAAATAGAAAGTCGAGCAGCGGCGAGACCTCAATGTTGGATTCGCGCCCCCGTCACTAAAATCTCTGGAAGGGGACAGAGCCGTTTTTGATGCTACTCTTTTCATGGAGGAAACAACTCAGATTCGACATTAAGCGTTAAATGGTGTCTGGTCGTACTGGAAACGGTTTTGCTAAAACAGCACAGTCAGCAGATCTCTCACTACAGTTTGAAAAAATAAGTTAGTTGTCTCAGTGAAACTCAAGAGAAATGCGTTCAACACTAGTTCAAGAGGCTTGGGCGATCGAGGTCGGATCAAGAGAGCCCTGGGCTGATAACGCGAAGATTTACCAGCCAATTGAGAAAAGCCAGGCACAATCCAATGAACGGGCACAATCACTCGCTGTTCAGGTGTGTAATAAGGATAAACGAAAATGCGTTTAAATAAAGGCGTTAAGTTAGTAAAAAAAAAATAATAATGAATTGGTTAAATAGACAAAATATTTCTAGCTTGACATGGGGCCGTTATAGATTCAAACAGCTGGATGTTACATTTTTTTTCATTTGTCTTCATTGTTATATATCTGGCTCAAATTACGAGCTCAGAAATGAAACCAGAATAAAAAAGTACAATTAAAGATTTATCAAGTTCAGTTATCTTTGAGTGAGAAAAAGTTTCGTCATGATGTTTGTAAGCCGGTAGATGTCTCATTTTGTATTTGGTAATGTCTGCTTCAGTGCTTCCTGCGTGTGTGCGGTTTAAGACACGACGTCATACAACGCGTTAACGCGGAATTCATTTCGCCAACGGGGACAACACCTGTACTTCAATGCGGCTCATTTGTTATCGCTGAACTTGAGTCCATCGTCGTTTTTGTCGCGTCTAAAGGCATTACTAAAACTAATGACCTTTCACAAGAGGAAAATGCTGATCTCAAGGCCTACTTCAGCTTGGTTGGTAATTGAGTACATAAACTCAATCTACTCTAAAGACGGTCGCTGACTGCGTAGAATACTTTTATGTATAATTATACATTGGCTAGCGTTCTTTGGATACAAAGTTCTACTCGCATACCTACTTTCATGAATTCATTTTTTGGTATTTTCAGATTATCCAAAATCTATGTTCGTTCAAAGACCATGACGCTACGACGGGCTTGTTTGTTTAATTGCTTATTTTCAAACAGGGTTCACTTGAGTCTAACAACGATCAATAAAAATAACACTAACATGAAAATTTCATTTTTTTTTTACGAAAAATAGGTTCAAACGGTTTTGTGCAGCGCAGAGTTGTACTTTTCTTGGATCTCAGCCACGGGATACAACGTGACGTACGATCGCTATGGAAGCGTTTATCCTTGGCCTCTTAACGGCGTCCTTCCGTGGAAGAAACGGCGAGCTATTAAAAAACTCCTTCAAGATTGGTCAGAGAAGAACGAAGTCGAAGTTATTGAAGAGGTAACTATTGTTTACACCAGCCAACAGGACTGGGACGTATGTCCCTAAAGACATTTTCATATAATTACATGATACCAAATCCGACTGAACTAACCGTTTGTTTTGACTACTTTGGTTGCACATTTTCATATCTTCGTTTGGCTTAGGTGGAATCATGCTTAACAGCACTTTCGGATCGTCTGTCCGATAAGATGTATTTCTTTGGCGTGCAACCGACAGAGCTCGATTGTCTTGTGTTCGGACACCTGTTCATCCTGCTTAATCCGGGTCCAGAGGCGGCTCCTGAGTTTCGGCAAATCGCCCCTTTAGTTAAAAAATTTTCCAATCTTGTCCAGTTTTGCGATAATATTGAGGCAAAGTATTTTCAAAAGCAATTACAAATGTAGGTAACAACTAAGAGTTAACTGTGCGAGCAGAATCGTCAAATGAATGTGTCGTCGTCATATTCGTGTGTTTCAACTCTATCTTGACAGTAGTCTGTCCATAAGGCTGAAGCCACGCTCTTGTAGTTATTGTGCACTACAGAACAGAAAGACAAAACGGTATGTGTCACGAATGCTTTATTATGCTATATATTAACATACTATTAGTTTTCAAATAAACTATTAAAAAAATTTTAGGTACACTGCGCTATCTTCGGTATAATCTTCCTCGTGAAGCTGCAGCCTTTCTAGGTTATTGAGCATCTATATCGTTTACTGTCCTTATACCCGTACTGTACGTATGTATGAGTACTATACGTAGACGTAGCTGAAAATATTCAGTTTCGTTTTTACAAGTCCGATCGCTTCCAGGCTAGAATAGTTAAATCTATCTGATATATATTTATAATTTTATATTTAGTGCAATTATTATAAGCGATTTCATATAACAATAGCTCTATTCAACATAAAGCTTGACTAGTTATGTCGAAAAGCGTGTATGGACAGTATTTCAAAAGATTAGAAAGCACTACGTGTAAGCGTAGAAGATTCGGCATGCATCTGTAAGCAGATAACATAGCTATTATATTTCTATCTTATTGCCGGAAAGTACGCCATCCTAAGCGGGTACACATAATTGAAAGTACTGGTTATAATTTTTCTTGAGGATTTCTTGAAATAATAGTTTCACGGTGGTTCACATCGAACTAAGATTCGGTACGTCATCTAGTTACGTACGTCAAGGTAGGTAGCGTTTAGTATTCGCCTCAGTCCTTGATGATATCATGCGTTTTGTCCGAATTTACTATCATTTGCCCGAATTAGTTATATTAATAATATTCTTGCAACAAAAATTCTCATTATAAAACTCACGGACACGCGTAGCTAAGAGAAAAAATCTAGGGCCTTACATGACTGTGCATACTTTTAATAAGTTTGTACGAACATGACAGCTGGTTCAAAATAATGATGCAGCATGGCAAACCCATCGCCTTGCATACAGCTTGGGCTCTGGCACAAGTTTAAGTTGATGAGACTATAGGATAGGCTAGATTTACAAGCCATCAAAAGCGCATCGTTCATATCAGAGTAAAGCTGAATTGTTCACGAAGCAAAACAGAGCTCATTGACTAAGGGAAACGAAGCCGTGGGATTCGAGACCCCTGGATATGGCTGTGGCCATTCGAACCCAAGATGAAGATGAGGGCAAGTAATATTGAACTTGTTTCCTATGATAAAAGAAATCTGTGTAAATTAGGGCTAACTAACAAACTATGTCCTTAACGATATCACTACCTGTATATTCAAGTTCTGGTCCGGTACAAGGTCATTTCAGCCAAGTTCAATTACTGCTGTGAAAGATTCGAGTAGCTCTAGTTCTATTAAATAGTTGGTCGAATAGCCATGCATGCTAAAATAAGTATTGCTTTCTGGCTATACGAACAGAGTATCTATCTGCAGAACATTACGCGGATTATCCATCGGTGTCGTTGACCGAGGCTGTTACCGAAAAGGAGCGTCAGCGTAGAAAAGCCATTCGTAAACATAAACTTTTGGCGGTAATCGACTCACTCGAGCCAAAGTTTGTAGAAAAAAAGTTTTAAACATTTAGATTTTGAAAGATATATTCAAGGATTGATAAGTCTTTATTTTAGCATAATCTTCCAACTAAGCAAGACGGATGAATATAGGAAATAGCTGTTCTTTTTTGAACTAAATTTCTGAAGATCAGTATACTTTATCACCAAAGGGCATAATTCCGTGTTAAATCTGTCCATCTCTTTGTAGCATTGCAAAATGTTGTTCAGCCCTGTTGCGTTGTTTGATGCAGAAGCTGGCTGACAGGAATGATGAGACAGATCCACAGTCGGCCCTGATTCCCCGGGAACGCTTTGGATTACAGCAGTTTTATCAGACGGCCTACCTTCTGGAGCGAAAGCTTCGCCGAAAATGCCTGACCTATCTGCACGTTCGAGAGTATCTTCACAATCTCGCCTACCTCTATGACCAGTTCATTGAACGCTTCGGACTTGACTATTCGAACGTATGTGCAGAGTGAACTTTACTACTCCAATTCTGCAGAATTTGTCATAACGGTATTTTTACAGTGGCTTCTGGCGTTGCAGTTCATTGCGTCCCACTTGAGTATATTGAAATGCGAAGATAAGTTCTTGTTAAACAATAAGAGGTCCCGTGTTAGCGTACTCATACCGTTTTGTGTGTTTTTCTACTATCAGTCAGTGCATAGTCATGTGCAACCTGTTCGAATACGAAGTAAAAAATTACCTAAATAAAGCAAGCTTGCTTAATATATACGTTTACTTTCTGCACAAACAAAATTTACTTTTTTCGCTTCTGTTCGGCTGTGGCTTTGCTGTAAACCATATCTATTTGGGAAGCAGCTAATCTCCAGTAATCTTCGATCAATAATACTCACTCTTGAACAGCTGACAACTCATCTCGAAAGATGTTCAGGAGTCACTCCGACAGATTGGATTGAGGTATGCTTTTAAGTTGCTGATCAGATACTTTTGAATTTATTGATTTCTCATATAACATATCAGTCACTGCGATACCGTGAATGGGTGGCAGTATTTGAATTTAATACATTTACAACGCAAATGGCGATTGTTTCTCTGCTTTTCCATTTGCTGATGAAGAGATCTTTTCTTGTTCTACGGTATCGTTATAGTTATCCAGGTCACACAAGTTTACCTTGAGTTTGGATATCTCCGCTTGTAGAAACAGAATTTTTTACACTTCTTACTCATCTGGCATCAGAGTAAAAAAGCGCCTCCGAAACAATTCTGGATAAACACGGCATATCTTCATTATATTCGAAATTTTCTGGTTTGCTTCAGTAGTTTTTTGATGTCGTTTAGAAGTTACATGTTGTAAGTTCAATTTTTTCACCCTATAAGTGATTTTGTCGACATCGAAATTCATTGTATGTAAAATTATGTGATTACATAATAAGGTGATAAGAAAATTGCAATAACAACAAGAAAATATCTAACGGTATACAACGCTTGATGATCACCGAACCTCAGAAAAACACCGCAACAAATTTAATGTTGCAGCAACCATTATTTTATAGAAGAAATGATTGTATGGTTATACCATAACAAAAACGATAATCTCTATTAAGTAACATATTTGCCTATTAATCTTACGAACGTGGTAATCTTATGGGATTATAATATAAATTATAAATAAATAAATAAATAATAAATACATAAAATTAAATTAAATTAAAAAAAAGATAAATTCAAATCCGGGCACGCACGGTTCGTTTCGTGCTGAGAGCCAGCCGCCCGTCCGTCTGATGGAATGTCTAACGTATGTACCCTTAAATGTAAGACCAGAAACGCAAAGTTCCGATGACTTCATTGTTGTATTTTTCCTTGTGGATATTTTGCATGGTCATGTACCGGTATATTACCTGCGATGCTTTAGTAGTTTCCTAACGCTTCTGTAACACATACACTTCTGTAACACGTATATAGGTGATGCAATCATTTCTTACCGGGACAGCCAATGTCATTGAGCTTGATCGAACCTCAGCAGACACGACACCTGCGCCTAGCGTGCGAATGTTCACGCCAGTGGAAATAACAGGCACGTATTCCGTGTGCTGAACTTGTGGTTACCGTAAATAATCGTTGTGTTTGCAACGCATCGAGCTCGAATTTGCATCCTGTTTTTGGTCACTTTAATATTGCTATTCATACTATATTTAGCTAGCCCAATACTGACGTCTATCTTTTTTCGCATTTAGAGGCAGGGGTTTTTGGCGCATCGTACGCAGCATTGCTTGGCGCTGGGCACGGGGACGTGCCGGTTACTTTTAAGATAGTCAACATGTTTACCGTACGATACAATCATTCACTCATCAACGCAACGGTATGTTGCAGTTAAAAAGATGCCTAAACCTTTGATGGTATAAGCACGCGTAATAACTTTGATAATATGAAGACTGTTTAGGAGTACGTAGCTAAGTAGGATGAAGAAAAATAATGTTGTTAACTTGCCAAGATTTCTATTGCTCAATTTTTCGACTTTTAGCAGCAGAGGAAATAAGCTAAAATTATCATTGTCGATGGCAGGCTTTATGGGGAATTTGGTGCGATGATTAGTGCACTGACGCAATTATTATTACGTTCATTACATCTATTAGCTAATATATCATTTGGATGCGGTACGTCGTGCGACCGTGTAAGATGCGATTCGCGTTGATGAAAGACACGTTGCATTCATTTAAAGTAGTATTAACAACCATCTATAGAATGTCTTGAATAGCGTATCCATGCCAAACCCTTCTAGTTCGACAGTTTTTCTTAGTCGTACATCGAGAAATTGAACTGTCAACTTGATCATTTGAAAACTCCCATTTCATTCAATTATGTTTAAACCTTATTGCGGGGCACCGCACGGAAAATTCGTAGGTTGAATGGAGCAACAAGCCATGATTAAGGGCGTATTTCTTTTTGGTTGCTGCAGATGTTCGCCGAAATTGTCAGTTCGCCGTGGGTTTGCATTCAGTACTGTTCATTCGCTGCGCTTGAGGCATACGTTTCTGTTAGTGAACCTTTTGCTGGGATATCACTGTTTCGTCTAGTAAAGACTCGGGGTTGCATCGAGTCGCCAAATAATCTGAAAATAATATTGGCGCAGCTTGCGGTTGCAGTACAGCATATTCATTACCAAGGGTTCATACATCGATGTATTAAGGTAAATATGATACATTCTTCGCTTAGCAATGATTTGACATTCTTTCGACTTTCACTCAAGAATCGTGCGTAAGATACCCCGTTTATCATTTTTGATGTACGTAGTTTTTGGCTAAAGCAGCAATTCCTGTGTCCTACTTGATATATTGTCTTAAAACAGAACACTAAAACGGCAATGCACGTCGATGCGATAGCTGTCGCTGCGCTTAATTAAGCCTAAAATTCTCTATTGGACAAACAAGGCACTAGAAATAGCTTCATTCGTTAGGAGATGTTAAGTAATTGAACTCTAGCTCAAATGCGTAATGAATATTGCAAAATAACATGTCGTTATCAGTTTAATTTGAACAATCATTTGACGTACGAGCCCGTTGTTGGGTTTCTTCATGTTTCAGATGAAGAAATTGCAACACCTAAGTTTCCGAAACGAAGAGTCTTTAATGTTTGATTTGCACGTTTACTGGTGCTTAATAGTGAGCTTTTCTTTTTAGCCGTCGTGTGCGCAAGTGAATTCCCGAGGCCTCGTTAAAGTGTGCGACTTTAGCAAATCCAGGGTCTGTTTAGGTCGGTTCTCGTCAAACAAATTTCGTAGCTATGATAGAGGTACGGTGGCCGAATTCTCTGACAAATCCCGAGTCGGCAGTCTGAATTATATGGCACCGGAAATGCTTCAACGTAAAGCCTACGGCAGAGCAGCAGATTGGTGAGCAGTCTTTTCCGTGTCGTTTATTTTTTTGAATTGGTTTTCTATTATTAGTAGACCAGTGCCCGTGTGAAGCTTCGCAGAGCATCATTCTTCTGCTCGTGCAATGCAGGAGGTCTTTCAAAAATATTATTGCACACATTAGGTGTCCGGGTTGCAAGGGTTGTAAAATCTAAACACTTAAACGCGAAAACAATTTTTTTTTATGTTTAGTTCGAAATATTGTTTACTTCAACGGTAACCACCATGAAGCTCGTGTGAAACTATTACATGGGACGTTTTATTCAATTCCTGTTGAATGATTCAACTTCCTTCATGCATATGTACAGATTATGTGAATGAGGAAAAGTGTCATTTCAACAGGTGGTCCTTTGGAGTGACGGCATTTTCGCTTGCGACAGGCAGGATTCCTTTTAAAGGAAACACATATGCTGAGCAAAAAAAAGCAATTTCGATTGCAAATTACGACTGGCCAAGAGAAACGTGTCCCGGTGTCACCTCTAAACTTCGTTCGCTTGTTAAAAAATGTCTCGTTACCCGACCTCAACGTTAGTTCGTCCATCTATTAATTTAAATATAAATTCATTAGTGGGATTAACAACGATAACTTGAACACAGGACTTGTTCACAGGAACATGCGTAAGCCTAAGAAACCTTCGAGTGTGTTGATGTTTCATAGGTTTGTTAGAGGAACCCCAAACAGGTCAGTCAAGGCGCACCCGGTTAGGCCCTTATTGTCCTTAATGCTGTGCCTGATAAGAGGTGTTTTTAGGGACTTGTTCACATTGGACAATATTTAAAGAGCCTGTAAATGTATTAATGATATTGCTTAATATCTCTTATTTGAATTAGTTTTAATTTTTGCATAGATATTAAGTGATAATAATGCTTGTAATTTTCTTTCTTAGCGTGCAAATCGACTTGCGATCTTGTAGAAAGAGCTCCTATTTAATGGTCAATTTTCATGCAAGTTTGTTTGACAAAACAGATTGACAAGTAATTGAACTTATCCCATTTGCAGAGCGGTTATGTTCAGCGTCATATCGAGACCTGTGGCGCCACACTTATTTTTCAGGTCTCGACATCGATCATTTGCAGTTCAGTGAACAACTAGCTGACATGCCTGTTATCGACGAGATAAGAGCTACCTCTAGAATGACGATGGAAAATAGCCAAGCGTCTATTTCGTTTGAAGAACTCATTGTAAATGCGGCGCGTTTATTATGTAAATTACGCATATCGTACAACATTATATTAATTTTATTAAGTCATATATGGAATAGAGCGCAGTGACATTAATGTTCTGTCTACACACACTGAATGGGACCATCACAGCATCGAGCTACTTGATTGTAATTAATCAAAAAAGAATTATGTAACACAATTGACTGAAACAGGGGATGAGCGAAGCCAAAGTGATTATGCATCTTTACGAATTCTTCCAACGTAGGATGTGACGTAAAAGCTCAGAACTCATTTTTAAAAAAGTTAGTAATTTTTAGAAAAATTCAGAAAGAAAATGTTTTTTCCTTTTTTGGGTAAATCGCAAGACTTAGGAAGTAAAACTTGACAGATTCAAAAAAAAGACAAAAGCGAGAGACCGAAGCGATATAGAAAAGTGCTTTTAATTATATAATAGTCATTTTATCCAAGCTTTCATAAGAGAAGCAAGTCTTTCAGTAAAGTTGTGGTCCAATTTTTGTGGAGGTATGTAAATCATAATAATCAATCGATTAAAATGTTTACTTTGTGGAAAAATTGGTACGTAGATATACACAGAAAGAATTAAAAAATGATAGGGGAATTGTACGGGAACGATATGATATGTACATCATATCGTTCCATAGAGATATTTTCCCTTGTAGTTTTACCTACTCACTTGTCAAAGAGGTTCTTGAAATTTTATGACCACTACATATAACATCATAATCTATTTTCTTCGTGAATCTATGCAACCTAAAAAATGATCGAATAATTCCAAGTTCTAACCAATTCTCGGATCGAATAATAGTACTCGATTGTAGTCAGCTTGCTTTGTTTTTTGTTGTCCGTACTTTATTGATGAGTTTGATCACGCTGAGCGGAACTCACGTTTACTATTTTACACGTGTACTCACGTGTAAAATAGTAAACGTAGGTCCCTTTATCAGAAAACTTTTCCGCTTTTTATTCAGTAAAAAGAATCGATAAAAGTGTTGAATGACACTTGGTACTAGTTGGTAAAATCGCCGGCAATAGTCGTTCCTTTCTAAGGCTTCTTTTCGACGAATTTTGAGCGTGTAGTTAAGCAATGATGACCCCGTTATAAACTCCTAGTTAAAAAGCAAATACCTTTTCCATACACACAGATAGCGCATCGTACGCAGTATACTCCGACCTTGACAACTGGTTTAACTTGAAATCAGTAGCTTTAAAATTTGATACGAGTATATACGTAATACAATGTTTATGACTGCAAACGTAATATTCCGATAGTGATAAAATGAGGATAACATTTCGATTTACCGTTCTGTTAATTTATAACATTTTGTTAATTATTTCTTAGGACAACGAAGAACCTAACCCTTTGTTTACTTTCACATCGCCGGGCTTTGTTCGGGCGATACGCAAACTCTCCGCTAACGAAAAAATTTCTCCAGAAATTATCCGAGACCCTGTTATGTTCTTCAGTTTGGATGAAACCTGTCAATACCGATTCCACGGTAAGAGAGATGAAAGTGTCAAGCCGTGTCAACCACTCTTTTTGTAGCAGTTATTTTCTAAAAACCGCAGTGCCATGATCAATTACTCACGGGCAGTCATCAGTATTGGCTAGTATGACACGCATATGTACATATGTGATATTAAAGTTGTTTTCAGCCTGCTCATACATTATACATTATACAGTTTTTTGGCAGTTTGGATTTCTGTTCTATCCTTATTGTTCCCATTTAGAAATTGAGCGAATTCGAATGTCTGAAAACGTAAGCTAGCCCAAAAAACAGGTTTCTTAGCTGGCCTTCGATTTAAAGATGCTTGCTTAGTTATTTGTGTCAGTGAGCCAGTGCTGCCCAATCAATAAATTTTAAATCTTACCCTTCAAATTCAGAACTGAACCTTGAGGAGCTTAAAATTGACAAAGTTAAACAAAAAACTGAGCATTTCTAAGCAATCTTGTGTATTATTTCAAAATGATTCAGCTTAGTTTAAAAGGTTTGTGCTGTATAACCATTGCCAATATCTAAAGCAGTGCACTATGTAGTACTATATACAGCTACGAAGTATTGATGTGAAGTATTTTCTTTTTTGAAGATAAGGCTATCCGAAGGGCTAGTAACAGCTCGAAGCATCTGCAACAGCAACCACGCAGTGAGGAGAGCTCAAGCACCACAAGCTCATCATCTTTTCAACGACTTGTTGGCTCAGAGGAACTACCATATAATAGTGACATTAAAGGCCATAGAACGCGTCCTCTCTCTAAAAAGACTACTTCCGGGAAAGCTACGATAACGGCCATTAAAAGTTTAGGGCCTTCTGTACGAGCAGTATCTGCTGGAAGGTCGTTTCTCGAACTAGTGCGAAAAATGGAAAGTGGAATGACCTCAGGAAGCTCAAGTGCGCCGAAACGTTATTCTCTTTCGAATCCAGTATCAGACAAAAATACCAGTACCGCTCTTGTATCGAACATTATTAGGGCAAACGATAAAAGACATCGAAGAGGACCTAAACAAAAGGAAGCGCATGCTTTCACAGACAGATGCTGAGAACCTTTACGGTGCGTCTTGAAAAACCGGTAGCTGCCGTCCTAGTGCAAAGGTAAGGCTCTTATTTTGAAATCTTGTAGCTAACCTGTAAAACGACCTAATAAGCAGTGAGACCGGATCAGATTGATGCAACTACTTAATGAGCCCATCCCATCAGGTCTACCCGATGTGTCATAGATGTAAGGCTACAGTCGGTTACGATTTGCGGAGTGCTAGGAGTAACAAGTATTAGGATTCGCGACTGACAATGGCATTATTTAACTATGTTCACTGACCCACCTTGACCATGACGAGACAGGCAGGACGACGATGGATTTAGGATGAACCGTTCACGATGGCCGGTAGTATGATTTATAGTAGGCTTTCGTGACATGATATGTGGTTTGTCTTAAACGCATCAAGATACCCGCAAGCAAAGTGCCCACGACAAGGCTAGACTAAATACAACCAAGAGAGATAGAGCACGGGTTGCCATCATCGGCACAACCACAAGCCTATTCGCTAAAGGAAACTGCGCTGTACAAGAGCTGACGCCAAAAGCATTTTTGTCTAATAAAGATCAACTGAATATGCGGAAGGCAACGATGCTGCAGCTAGGTGGGAAGAATAAGAGCTGATTTTACGTATGAGCCTAAGTAGGGCCACCTGAGAGGTGCTACAGTAGCGTCCGTGCCCTATCATTGATACGAATAAAAAGCCTGTAATCATAAGAACTCGTCGGTGTTGTGCAATAATCTAAACAATACAACTAACACGAAGAGGAAGTACCAATAGCTAGAATCAAATACGCCATTGAAATATATCGTATTTTTAGCTTGGTATCCTTTTCTGTCACTCACTCACTCACACAGATATCTGAAGCTTGTTTTTTCTTTTCTGTTTTACGCAGCCCGTGAAGATAACTCACTAGGTCTGCGCTAACTGCGAGACTTAATCAAACGGTGAACGTAGTCGCTGTTTTCATATGCAACCAATAGAGAGCAGTGCCTTATCTTTCTTCAAATATAGAATATACGCATGAAAGTATGCTACAGTCGCTGAGATAAATGCTTTTCATTAAAGAAAATCGATTGCAAAGCTCCACTACTTCCAATAATGACTTGACTATTCGGAAGACACTGTATTTGCTTTTCTTATTATGGCGCCAGTGCAATTTTGAATTTAATAGATGACATATCATATCCAGGGATTATTCGATAGCTAAAGGTAAACGAATTGTGCTAGACGGCGCTAGCCTGAGGATGCGGTCGAATTATGGAAAATCAGGTTCCCTCATTTAAGAGATCCACGGTTCAACTGGCTCCGCCAAAAATCATCTAGAATGGTATCTCTTTACCAAGATGTTTATGTTATCGATTTTAAACATGGCCCACTTTCTATTCAAGGGCCAATTCAGAAAGCGCTGGTTGTGCAATTTCGTCAAGCTAATCACAGTCGAAATTAGGTCAGCCTAACTGATAGTGAAAAACAGTTACCTCCACCTTGTGAAATTGAAGCTGGCAGCATTTCCTCAAAACATGAGTGCACAAAGAAAAAAAATGAACAAGATTAATGACAAATAATTTTCGTAATAATATATCTTTATTGTATACATATACTGTTATATAATAATAATAATATAATTATAATATTCATCCTAGCCGTGTATATATACTTTTTTATTTTATTTTTTCTCCTTCTCTCTTTCCATTAAATCCGTCAAGAGGGGTTTAGTAGTTTTTTTCAGCATTTTTTTCAAACAAAATTTTTCAGAATGTTAACGCTTCGGTTGTCAGTTGATCCAACACAGTTTCTATATTCTTCCGTCTACACAGACTCATTTTTATACATGGTTTTCCGTTTTCCGAGGGATTACGGGAGTGGTATACACTGACCGGATGGCTCTTAGTCCAAGACAGTCCTTTTACAGCATACTTATGTGTTCACTTCACTCTCCATCATTTCACAAGAATGCCAAATAAACTAGAGGATCAATCTTCATCGTGGATTGCGCTTCTTTCTATTATTAATATTTATCATCTGTTATCATATATTATATATTTTTTTATATATAATTACCGTCGCTATTTAGCGCATAGCCAAATGGTATATACAATACATGACGAGTGCCAGGACAGACTGGTTGATACACCATTCAACAAATAGGCCCATCGACAGAGATAACAGGGGGAACAGGACCTTTGAAGGCCTGGGGAACAAAGGCCAAATTAAAGTGAACAGAAGATGGTGGCCTGCTTACTTTAACTGGTTGGGTTCGAATTAAGGGAAGCTAATGTGGTAAATAGGTATGGCGCATTCGCGTCAAGGTTCACAGGGCATGCTGCCTGCGTTCGCTTATGATTCGCGACATTCTTTCGTGTTACATAGAAACATCATCGAGTGCATCGAGTAGGTTATAGACAATTGCATGCCATATTTTGAGCACGCTTTAAATAAGATAGAATATTAGGAGATGACAATATTTATTGTCTTTTCATGATCTCAGTAAACAGCGAATATCAGTACTCAGTAGCTGTTGTTGTCAGCTTTGCGCACAACAGCAAAGTATCAATACATACAGCCATGATAAAATGAAGAAACGTTGGCCAACCGTTACCACCTGAAGCTTCGAAAGCTTTTCAGACCAACGAGCATGCCTCGATGTTTTCTAATCATATGAACCCATTTCGTAACTATTAGACCTGGTAATTGTATTTCCATGGTGAGTCACTCTGCTCGTATTGTAAGAAAACTCGAGTCGCCATATTTTCAATAGCAATTTTACAGAAGCATGAATCAGTAAGACCCGTTGAGCTGGCTTTCACGTTTGACGGCTTTGAGGTGCCACAACGTTTTCTGGAAGCACTTGTTTATGGTGCCGGCCAGAAACGTGGCACGCTGATGGTGTTGGGGCCACGTTTCGCGTTCTCGCACTCCCCCTCAGTCGCTCGTTATGCTCCCCCATTCCCTTTCGCGCGCTCAATTCACGTGTACCTACCTATATTCCTGTGTGAAGCCTCGCTCCTCTTTATTCATCTTCTTTTGCTTTCAGTCATTCTTTCACATGAATACATACACACACAGCATGAATAAATTATAATGAATCAATTTAAACTATTTTGAAAAAGCCTAACAACATAATGACCGCTGTGGCTCACTTGGCCCAGCCAATCCTCACTTAAGATTGTCCTATCTAAGTATAGTCCTTTAAGCGCAACTTCACGTGACCGTTTCCTTCATAACTTCAGTTTCTTGTTTCTTTCACAGCATTGTATAGTCCAGTGTTTGTGCCGATAATCGTGTCGATTCAATTAATGAGAGAGAACGGAGAAAATTAATAACTAATTATTAGAATTATTTTTTTTTTACTATTTTTCATCAGCTTTTTACAAGTCTGGTTGGTGCGCTTCAGGAGAACGACGGCACAACGCCATCTGTAATGAGAAACTGTACGTCCAACCAAGTATTCTGTCTTCTGGCGTCTTTTTTTATACGCATTTCATACGCTTAAGAGCGATGTCTGTACTCCATCATTCAATTATAGCTATTAGCAATATTTTCTTGTCAATATGATAATTATTCTACTTATTACTGCCTTCCTTATTATTTTTATCATACCACCATTAAAATTGTTATTTTATTATTACTATTATGACTTTTACATTTTCTTTATTTATTAGCACTAATGATAATAGTAACTAAATCAAACAAAGTAGATATCTCACTTTTTTCGATTTCGATCATTCGCTTCTTTCGTATCGCTGGTCGTTTCTGACGCAGATAATCAAGCTGACTGATCATACGATTTCCTTTACTGCGGCTCTCCATGTTTCTTGCGAAATCAACAGAGCTCTGCAGGCCGTAATCGGGATGACTATACAGTCACACGGTCATGTACAGTACTTTTTATGACCATCATTCTGTCATTATCGTCACCAACATAATAACTGAGATTATTTGATGACTGGAAAAAAGGCCGCAATAAGAACCTTACTACTGCTACTACTAACTGATAAGTATTCTGTAATTACATGTTTTTTTCCATTCCTACACCCTTTCATGTCTTCAATAAATGTTGTTGAGGGAGAACGTCGATTGTGAGACGATGGATTTGCCATTGTCTGATCTTGCTTGTGCACACGGCCAGGAGACGCCCGTCGCCTGTGCGTAACATATGTTGCTCTACGGTCGCACATATGAGCTATGTATTTCGCTTGTTACTGTCTGCTCGGACATGTTTTAGCTGCTGTTGTTGTGTGGTACACACATTTGTTGTCAACTGTATACAGTGAAATTTCCGCGTTTGTATACATTTAATATTATTCGACTGATCTCATTTCTTAGATTTCCGCTCAATTTTTTCCATCTCTGAGGACGTGCTCTAGTGCTAACGGGCTGCTTTATACTTCATCATTTAAATGGTATAACTATACGACATGAGACAAAGAGGGCTAGGAAAGAAGATGCATTCATAAATCGGACTGATATCAAATCGAATGAAATCGGACGGATCGAAATGAGTATGATCGTTGTTCCACTGGACGCCGAGCCAATCATCTAGGAAACCACACTGGATACTTCATTTCATTAAAGGCGTAAAAATATTGGGCTCCAAAAGACAAGCGAAATAGTACCGAATAATAAACGATTATGGCTTCCTGACGCAAAGCAGTAGAAGCGGTGATAAAAGGTGGTTCGTAAATTTAATGAGCCAGAGAAAGATCAGAGACAGGTTTCTGGTTGAACAAAGCAGCCGGCGGATGACAAGATAGGGATCACATACGGTGCATAAGCCGCATTGAATTCTCCACAGGGGATTGGTAATAGAGATGGATATCGGGGCATGTGTGCAGGGACGTGACGTCAACGATCAGAGCTATTGCGTGGTTGAATGCGCGGGCAAAAAGTCAAGCGGTTCGATCACCATAAACCAACTACTTCCCTCTTTTGGGTGGATTGAGAATTCAATGTGTTTTGGTCTTTTCATTATGTCCTTTTTCTACGGCTCTGTATAGCAATTCCTGTCGCCTGCACTTCTGTCGTAACTCTGTCGTCTTTGTCCCCCTTTCACTCAGATAGCCTCTTAATTCCCGCACTTCGTATATATTTATTGATTATATCGTAGGGCGGCTAGGACACGGAGCATAGTGATATGAATAATAATAATAATTATAATCATATCAAATAATGATGTTCACTAGGAGACAGGAATCGACATCGAAATTATGATTGAATTCATTGGCATGCACATTAGCTTGTCGCTTGCGTACACTGTCTTCATTTGCTTGCTTTTCTGCTTATTAAATCGTTGGTAGACTTCACTAATCCATTGCCCCGTATTCAGTTAAGTTTAATGTTTAGTCTTTTTTCACTATTATTACCTTGAAAGAAAAAGCAGTCGAAACTTCCGATCATCGACAGGTTGTCGCTTACAGTAATGACAACTGCAAAAGCTGCGCCCAATTCTCCCTCTTTTCATTTTGAATAAGGTATTCAAAAATGACAGAACGCCTTTCGTAGATCAAAAGTCGTCACATTCGCGTGAAAGGTGGCCTTGCATTCTACTCGACAATGCTTTGAAGTTTCTCTAGACATCCAAGCCCATTAAGAAGCTCTGGCGGCTCGTCGATTCCACGAGATTCCACTAAACAATTTCCCTGTGTCCTTTTTCAGAATGACGTTACTGCATCTGTCAATAAAAAGGCCTTCCAAACCAATATATCTCGGTCTTCGACCCTTTGAAAACTCAGTTTTACACAGCTCCGCAATCCACTATCCACCGAACATTTTAAGTGAGCAGTACACGCCGATGTCAGCGTGACACCACATCATTTACACTCTCGTCTACTGCATAAACGCCAATGTCACGAACATTTTGCTCCATGTCGTATAATAATGGCTTTTCATCTATTTTACATTATGATGAATAAAATGTATAATAATAATAATATAGAATGCATATATTTATACTTGTATATTTCCTAATCTGTGTCATGACGATCGTCAATATTATATTTTAATTAGTATGTATA